CGCGGTTTCCCCTCCTTGCCGGGGCTGTGGGCCGCTCCCCGCCCGCTGCCGCAGCTGGGCGCTTCCGCGGAACCCTTCCTGTGGGTAGGAACGAGCTGAAAAATTGATGAGGTGTCTGCTGGTCGTTATAAATAGTTCGTGTATTGCGCGTAGAGGTCATCGCGGCACCCAGTAGTGGTGGTAAATAACCGCGTTTTCAAGTAAGACGCCTAAATAGGACCTGAGGTTACTTGAGCCCTTCGGGATTAGTGGTGGGCTGTCAGTTCAAAGCCCTTTCCTCCCTGGGTAGGCTGGAGGTGGTACTGGGGCTTGCCGTGCATGTGTCTAGTTGCTGAGCAACACAAAAATGCTAAAGCGATTTAATTCTAAAGGGTTCGTTACAGCAATAAACTGTAAGTTGCAAGTGGGAAGGTAGTGTGTTTTCCTTACCTTTGCAGACAAATCCTAATTGGGAGGAAGGGAAGAAATTACTATATCTGCTTTTGTAATCTAATTGGGATAGTCAGCTGTGAGGAGAGTTTCTAAATTTCATTTAATCCTTTTCTCATCTAGCTAAACATCCAGAGATAAAAGCGTTGATGAAGCCAGACCACAACTTGATCTGGGTGGTTGTGCTGATGGTTCTTGCACAGTTGACTGCATTCTATCTAGTTAAAGACTTGGACTGGAAATGGGTAATCTTCTGGGCATATGTTTTTGGAAGCTGTATTAGCCACTCCATGACTCTGGCTATTCACGAGATCTCTCACAATAGTGCCTTTGGCCACAGCAAAGCAATGTGGAATCGATGGTTTGGAATATTTGCCAACCTCCCTCTAGGTCTCCCATACTCCATATCCTTCAAGAGGTACCACATGGATCATCATCGTTACTTAGGAGGTGATGGAATTGATGTGGACATTCCTACCAACTTCGAAGGCTGGTTTTTCTGCACCCGTTTTAGGAAGTTCATATGGATTGTTCTTCAGCCTTTTTTCTATGCGATTAGACCTCTCTGCATCAATCCCAAACCCATTACTCGACTTGAAATAATCAATTTGTTGGCTCAGCTTTCCTTTGATGTTGTGATATATTATTTATGGGGAGTCAAATCCACTTTTTACATGCTTGCTGGTTCAGTACTTGGACTTGGGTTGCACCCAATTTCAGGACACTTCATAGCTGAACATTACATGTTTTTAAAAGGACATGAGACTTATTCCTACTATGGGCCACTTAATTTGCTCACTTTTAATGTTGGCTATCACAATGAACATCATGACTTCCCCAGTATTCCTGGCAAGAGCCTTCCACTGGTAAGTTTACTTCCAAGGTTATTACTTTTTCTTAAAATAAGCCCTACTTTTAACTTGAAAATCAGGGAGAACACTGATAGTTGGAAGAATGGAAGCTGGGAGATTAAAAACAAACCAGATGAAAACCAGAACAGCTTCTAAGTTGAGTGATGAAGGGGGTCATTACTTACCATTTTAGTGGTATCCTGAGCAAGATTCTAATGTGCTGGTTGCTCAAACCGCTTCCATAAAAGGAGAGGGGAGGAAATGCGTGTCCTGTGCTTTGCACTAACTTCAGTTTTCTGTAATTACAACCAGCCTTCTGTCTTCTTCGGTTTGTAAGTATGCAGAAAACTTGTTAAGAAGTTGCAGATATCTTCAGAGATTTGTCAGCTCTGCCTTTGAAATCTTAAGGACAATATTGTAATGCATGCTTATGCTTCAGTCTCTTTTATTGCTGACATCCTCTGGCGGGGAAAAGAGACTGAGGTACTGCTAGTGTTTGTTGTGCTGTTGACAAATGTTTAATAGCTTTCTACTTCAGAGCAGCTCAGTTTCCTCTAGTGAGAACCTTTGAACCCTGAATAGGTGTCAGCTGTGCATTGACAGAATTAAGGCTTCAAAGATAAGACTTAGACCTGTCACATCTGCATGAGTAGCAGATATGAATTTTTCAAACTGGTTTCTCCCCACTTCAATCTTTGCTGGTTTCTTTTTAGCAGGAGCTTAATTCTCTTTGTATATGTGTTTCCCAATTGGAGCATGGGAACATAGTCTTCCAGGGTTACACCTAAAACTCATCTGCAGTGAAATGCATTTTTCATCAGACACTGAATTTGCAGTGAATTTGATGGCAGGTGTGGTGTTGTAGCTTTGTTACTCCACTTGATAATATTAAGACCTTGTAAGCTTGTGCCTTTGGAGTCTAAACTTTCTGTTGTCCGTGGTGGAACTGTAGATGAAGTAACTACTCCAGCACTTATTTAGCAGGGTGGTTAAATTCTGTAATTGGTTTGTTGAACTTTTTTTTGTTGTTTTGTTTTTGAAAAAAAAATCTTATTCATAGATTTCATGTTTCAAATACAGCTAAAGTTACTTTAACTCACCTTTGATACCTAGATCTGTTCTGATGAACTAGCATTTTGCTTCTTGCAGCAGTACTTGAGCTGTAAATAGGGAATAATTTTTTTTCAAGTATTTAATTGCCAAGGTAAATACCTAGCTCTGCTACAGAACTCTTAATCCACAGCTCTGACAGGAAAACAAAGCTGCCTTTTAGAACAGTGTAGTTAATTTGATTGGACTCTGCTATGCTGTGTGCTAAAGATCACTGAAGTACTGAACACTTACTCCAGCTGGGGTACTGGTGAGCTGAGAATAATTAATTACAGTTGAATAAAAGTGTACTGGCTAGATGCACTGTTCTATAGGTGTGATGAGGGATCAAAGTGATCTTCAGCTCCAAACCAGGCATGCAAATATCTTGGGTTTGTTTGCTTATACAGATTAATATTTTTATTCTGTCTAAAGCTATGAAATTTAGTTAATTAGTCTTGTTCTGTCTAGGTTTTTAAGGCTTTAGGTGGCTGGCCTTAAATATCAGTAAGGCTATCTAACCGAAACTCCAGCTCTCTTAGTTTAAAACAGTGGTCTGGTTAGCATGTGCAGCTGAGAATAAAGTCTTTGGAAGCAGTTTCTATTCATTCTTTAATGTCTGTCATCAGAAACAAGATGTTCATCAGAAATAAGATGTTTTTTCTTCTGAGTGCTGAGGTTTGAAACTACATGTTAAAAAAAAGCTATGTTAAACATCTTTTCCTAGAACTTAAAACATCCTTTTTAGGGATACTTGTATACCTATGAGTCAGCACTGAACTGAGTCACCCACTTCCACTAGCAACCAAACTGCTTGGTTTTGTGAGCTACATCATTTTGTAGGTAGCATAGTGAACAGACTTCAGAGTGTTAGCAGAGTTTGTTCTGGCTAACTTCCATATAAAAGGTTCATATGAAGTTTACTTAGCAAGCAGGGAGTTGCTTTTTCCTTCAAGAAATTTTCACATTGTGGCACTATAGCCTTTCGTGTAGAATCTAACATCTAAAATGAAACTTCTAGTGCTCTACATTGAGTTACAGGTTGAGAATTGTAAAGTTGTCGTGATTGGTGCTAATATAAATAGTAAAAAACCCTTGTATCTCCTCTTTAGGTGAAGAAAATAGCAGCTGAATACTATGACAACCTGCCACAATATAACTCTTGGATAAAAGTACTGTATGATTTCGTGATGGATGACACAATCAGCCCATATTCACGCATGAAAAGGCAATTAAAGGGTGAAGTGAAGCAAGATTAAACTTCTGGCAACCAAAAAACCTTTGAAATGTCTGCTTGCTTTAAAGTGGCTGGGATAAGGGCTCTTGCTAATGATGTTCACCAGTGTCCTGAATTAAGATCTACAGCAACATAGCAATGCATCCTTAAGGATTTGATAGCAGACTCCTACCAGCTGTAACATTCCTTGCAGTCCTCAGATTCATTGGTTTAATGTGTATATGTTTGCCTAAGGATCAGTGTTATATGCATAATGCTAAATCACTTTGTTACAGAATTTACTTTGGCAGGTGTTAAATCTATATAAAGTATGCCTGACTTGTAATATTTTTAGAAATTCTCAATGTAGTACACAGCCCATAACATGCTGTTTAGATGACTGTAGTGTTAAAATGCTGTACTTGCCTGTTAATTCTAAACTAACACGATAACTTAAACCTTCTGTTGAACCTGTTTCCTAACTTATGGGAAACAAGGCTAGTTACAACCCTGACAATTCTACCTGTTAAGCATATTAGTCATGTGTGTTGCTAAATGATCTTCATTTCCCATCTCCCCAACCCTACAGTATGCTACATAAACATTTGTCTGTCTTTAATATTAAAATGTGGTGAGAGCACAGGTGGTGATACCAAACTTCCTGCTTAAGTTTTAAAATTGGGAACAGAGAATGGATAGACTTGCTGAACTCTGAAGAATTAATCTCTACATACCTCAGCACAGTATATTTGCCTTCTATCATCTAATGCATTGATGATGGCTTTAAGCTGTCAAAGATGGCTACAAATGACCCTTAAATCTCAAAATGAGATCCTACAGTGTGATCTTCACTTACCTGAAAGATGGAATCTGATGAAGGTGGAAGTCTCAGCTACTGTTCACACTGGTCTGCTGTAAGTAACTTAATATTTAGGTGCCTCCAGCTCCTGCATTTTATGGGTTGGTTTTTTTTTTTGGAAGAAGCTTGAGTGCCTGAGAAGAATGTGTTGGTATGTCTTAACCCTCACTTGGTTGCAGTCCTGTTTCTAATGCATATTTTGTTTTTTAAGCATGGGCCCTTACCTGTTGTTAAGTAATAGAAACAGTATGAAAGTATGCCAACTACTTACAAAGTGACTTCATTATGATGCCAATAACATGCTAGCTAGCCAGCGTATTGCTCAGGGTATAGTGTAATGTCAAAATATACTTTATCTGGTATTTTTACATGTAACTAAAAAGCAAAGATTAAAGTAACTTTGGGTGAATTTTTGACTGGTTCCCTAATGCTGAAGGACTTAAGCTTTAGGGAAATTTGGAATTTTTAAAGCAGATGCAAGAGCTGTTCTACTGAGTGGTGGTATAGATGAACTGTAAAGAGTCACTGCCCTTGCCTTTCTACTGGGAAGAAAACTGATTTGGGCTGCAAGACTTGAATAGGCTTAAGTTGCAAAACAGTTTCTTTTTAAGCCACTTCTGCATGACTGTTTCTCAATTTAAGAGGTGAATGGTAGAATTAAATCTCTTTGATAGCTCGCCATAGCTGAATGAAGGATGGAAAGTGTCTCCAACAAGTTGCACAGCTAAAAGCTAAAGTTGAGAAACTGCTTCTCTGAAGTATTCATCTAGGATAACTGAGAGGTCAGAGTTTAACTTTCATACTTGGGCTTAGTTACCTATTTGATAGAATCACTGATGCCCCTTACTGTCCTCCCAATAGGTAGTGCAAGTGTGAGTTCCTGCTTTTAAACAGGATTGAAGTTGCCATCTTGCTTGTTTAAAATTGCAAATATTGCTTTAAGGTGTCCTAACTATGATCTTCCCTTCCAACTCTGATTACAAATAACCCCATTTTCATTTTAAGAGCTGCAGAATAGTGGGGAGTTCTGAGGGAGATCTATGCTTGCCATAATATTTCTGAAACGTGCAGGCTACCTATTACAGAAGACTTTACTGGACTAGGCTAATCTGAGCCAATGAGGTTTACGTTTGGATTTAAACCATGGTCTGATTCTTAAAGCTTTGGTAACTACCATTCTCAGGCATGTAAGTCCTGTGTAATACACAAGAGCCTTTGGCATCTAACTTCAGTAGGAGGGGTTTTGCCAGCAGCAGATCATCTGAAAGTTAACCTATACTGCAGCATAGTTTCATCCCTTAAAAAAAAAAAAAGTCAGAAGTATTTCTGAACCACTGGCAAATGGAATTAAGACCAGCTGGGCTACTTGGCTTGTGTTTTGATATTCTCAATGAGTAGTTTTCTCCAATCATACTTACAATGTGGTGGTTAGTCCAAAGGCATGGCACAGAAATAAGAAACATGAAAATGTTTTTAAATGCATATGAACCATCTAGTTATTGTTTTTAAGGAATTAAATAGTTTTCACTAATGCTATTAAAATATCTGGCAGAAACAGGTTAGTATAGTTTTTTAAATACTTTATCTGGAAGTTGGAGGGAGGTTTGACTAACCAGTGAAGAACAAATTAAACCTAAAGAGCGTTAAGAACCCTGACAGTTAACCTAATTATAATTTTTTTAATAAATCTATTCAGATGGAATGAGTTAACTTTGTCCTTTCTACATGCTTGTTAGGGTTTGTTCCTTTCTGTGTAACTAAAGCATCTTACTAGTTTGTCAGTTTGGCAGACTTCTTTATGTGAAATCAGCCAGGGGTTTAACTGTCAAAACACAGCTGACTTTGGGTTAGCCATGTTAAACATGTCATCCAGGTATTTTAGCTGCAGTTAAATTGTGCAGAGCCCTGAATCCCCTTCAGGGTTTTCAGAGTAACTCACAGTTTTCAGGATAAACTGCCTGGCCTGGCTTGTAATGCATGCGCGCACACACACCCACCCCACTTATTTGAAGCTGCTTAAGTGGAGTAAGTAATGCATCCTGCAGTCTGATCATACTAGGCATGAGTTTTACCACAGGACAGGCGTGGGTATATTCCTCTTTCAAAACAACTCTTGCCTCTGGCATTCTTGTTTTGCTGTTGAACCTGTCTGTTCAACATATAACACATACTTAAAGTCTATAGATGTTGAGAAATTGATCTGTTCTGAGTAAGCAGACACTGTTAGATAATGAGCTCAGTGGTTCACCTTTGCTTCCTTGGCATTCATTCCTGTATCAGTAGAACTTAAAGCTGTTCATTCCTTATTTAACGATGAGGTTCAACTACCAATAATGTCACTGCTATAGATTGCAGGCTGCCATACTAATCCTGTTGGACAAACAGGAGAAAACTTCCTTTCAGGTAGCAATCTTGCATAAGTGGTCTAAGACACAGCTTTTGCAAAGTGTACTCCTCTGTAACTTGAACGAGTGTCAAAAGACTTA